GCTGAGCGCATGAACGCCCCAAACGTCCACCGCGCGGCCGCACGTCGGGCCGTGCTGCGCCATCGCGCGGGTGGGCGCTGCTGGTCGGTTCAGGCACGTGCACTCGGACTGCAGCAGCGGCAGGTGCATGCGCCTCTTGGCTGCAATGCAGAACGCGTGGTCGGCGAGGGGCGAGACCCCCTCGAAGTTATCCAACCAGGCGCCCGCTGAGCTGCCCGAGTCACTGTGCACCGCTGCCGCTGCCGTCACTGGCAGCGCGGCCGTGAACGTCTTGGTGACGTGGTCCCGCACGTGCTGGGTGTACGTCTTCTGGTCCTTTCCCTTCCGCCCCTCCAGAAGGCCCTGCCAGCGGTCGCTCTGAGGGCGACGGCCGCCAGCCAGCCGCCCCTGCTCCTCGTCTGCTGCTGAGAGGGCTCGGCCATGGCCTGGCCACCTCCGAAAGAGGCCGATCGTTGTCGACTCTCGGAGCTCCTGGGCTGCCGCGTGAATCCCAGCTTCCCGGGATGCTAGGAGGGCGGCTGGGCCGCGCTGCTCAGCGCTGCCACAGCCCAGACCTCCGTCGCTGACCTTCATGAAGGTCTGCTCTCGGGGGGCCGCCGTGACCCCGAGCAGGGCGTTGACGAAGGCGACCACTCCGTCATCCACCTTGCGGCTCCACGCCGTCGTGAGCGGGGGCGCCCGCTGGATGTGGACGCAGGCCCCCCTCGACCAGATCCGCATCAACTGGAATGCGTCACAGGCAGGGAGCCCATGTCTGCGCAGCGTCAGAAGCTCCTTGAAGTAGCGGCCCTGCTTCTGGAGGAAGGCTTCGCCGCAGGGGGGTGGCGCGGCGGCGCTCGGGGCGGCCCCGGCGCCGCCAGCCTGCCCATGGCCCCCCTCATCGAGGTCCTCTGGGACGGCGAAGTCCGCGAGTGGGACGCCCCTCCAGTCGGTGTCCACGTCGTGGTTCGTGTAGGCCAGGGTGGACCCCACCGCCTTGAGCTTCTGGGCGCGGTACTGGGCGTACTCTGCAAACCCGGGCGGCAAGACAGCTTGGGCATCGGGGGACCATATCTGGGTCTTGGACATCTTGAGCTTCATCCCGTGGGCTTCGATGCGGGCTCGCCACGCATCCAGGCCGCGGAACACAGCGGCCGCAGTGCCCACGAAGTACGTGTCGTCCAGGAAGGCCAAGCAGTCCCCTTCCATATCCACGGCGCGCACGGCCATGCGGCCGATGCTGAGAGCATCCGCGGTGCCGACCGCGTAGAAGCCTGGGCTCATCGGGCAGCCCTGGTCGAGGCCACGGATCTGGTCGACCAGCTGGGCGGGTGGCGACCCGCCCACCGCCACGTGGCGTGTTCGGGCGGGGAGCCAGGCTTCCGCCAACGGGGCCAGCGCAGGCACCTTGGTGCGCACGGCCTCCTTCACCAGGTCGCGGGGGATGTTGCTGAACGCATCCCCGAGGTCCACCGCCACCACCCACTTGCCTGGGCTCGAGCTGGCCATCGTGCATAGGCGCCGATGGAGTGCACCACACCCGTCCTTGGCGAGGCCGAACTGCTGGTCTCCCACCGCCGTCCGCATGTCCTTGTGGTGGACCTTGGCGGCACTGCGGCCCACCAGGCGGCGGGTGACGTTTCCGCAGCCCAGGACTCGCACATCCCCAGGGGTTGCCTTGGGGATGCCTGTGAGGCGCGCCGCCGTCATGGCGGCTAGCGCCTCGGGGGGGAGGTCCCCGATGGCCAGTCGCGCCAACGTGTTGGCCACCGCCTCTGCCCCATCCTCGTCGTACGTGAGCGGGGCCCAGTGCTCGTAGCGTCCTCCTCCAGGCCCCGCCCCTCCACGGCGGGGGAAACGGCCAAACTGACGTTTGAGGTGGTTGGCCACACGGCGGTGGAGTTCTGCTGCGCCGTCGAGCTCGTGGGGAGCTGCGGCTGGCGGCATCGCCACGTCGGCCCCCGCCCCTGCGGACCCTATCCCTGGCCCACGCGGGGCGGCCCCAGTGCCAGGGAGAGGGCCCCACTCGCCTGGGCGAGGCGCCTCGGGCTGCTGGGTGGTGCTGAACTTCCTCACCACCGCCGCTGCGTCCGCCATGTCCCCCTGGGGCCACACTGCCGCTGCCGCCCGAGACATCTCTCCCGCTCGTGCGAGCTCGGTGACACGGCGTACACGGGCTGCGACGTGATCCTCGCGGCCCTCCGCGGTAACCGTGGTGCGCGTCTGGTCTTCCATGGAAAGCCAGGCGACGTCCCACTGGCCGTCCTGGATCCACCGCAGGCGCTCCTGGAGGCGCTCACGCCGTGTCGTCGGGGTCGGGGTCGCATTTTCGCTGAACAGCAGTCCGTCCAGCGAAAGGAACACCTCCCACAGCCTCGTCAACGTACTCGACGTCTGAGCATCGTTGTCCTGGCGGGCCTGCTCAATTGCCAAACACAGCCGCACCTTCACGTGGCTGACGGCTGCCGCCATGCTGTCGGGGATCATGGTTGTGGTGGGCGCCCCCTGGAGCAGGATGCGGTCACACCCGATGGCGTCCCACCAGTCCAGGTTGACGAACCTCGTGGTACGCGTCCTCGCTCGTCACCTGGTCGCCCAGGTAGTCGTCGTAGACGCCTGTCTCGAGTCCGCCCTCATCGCCTGCTTCCGCGGGAACGTCGAGTGGCGGTTGTAGGATGTCCGCCGTGGTCGGCACCGCTGCCTCGGCCGCCCCCAGGGGAGTCCCCCGTGCGCCTGGGCCGTACGCCCCTGGCGCGGCGGCGGCAGGGGGCCTCGGGGTTGCCCCAGTGCCCCCTGCCGCGCCATCTCCCTGGGTGGGAGGGGGGGCGGGGGGGGGGTGCCTGGCCTTCGACTGCTTCCAGCAGGGGCAAGATGGGACCCCCTCGGGCCTCCAGGGCTGCCGCGAGGCGATCCCTCTCGCCCTCAGGGAGCTGAGTGAAGCCCGCCATCGCCGTAGCTGGTGGTAGGGGGCCATCGACGCAGGCCATGTGGAACCACTTCCTGCCCGCGTGCGCCTGGGACCCCGCAGGCGGTGTCACGACGCCTGCCACGCGCCACTCGCCCGCCTCGAAACCTCCCATGCAGCACGTGCAGTGAGCCTTTTTGCCGCGGGCCGCCTGGGCGCTGACGCACCAACGGGTGATGCGTCCGCCCGTCATGCGGCGCCGCCTCTGTGCTGGCTGGCCCTCGCTGTCGCGCATGTGGACGTCGATGTTGCCATCCATTGGGATGTCGGCTGCGTTCACGCCTGCCGACGCGGGGGCGGCAGCGGAGGCGCACGGGGCGACCCCAGCACCTCCGCTGCCTCCCGCAGCTGCCAGCACTCCGCCTTCGCCTCGAGCCGCAGCGGCGTTACTCCCAGCCACTCGAGCCCCTGCACCTGCGTCCGCAGCGCCGCCAGCGGCCGCCGCCATCCCAGGACGCCCCTTCAGGGCAAGGAAGAGTGTTCGTAACAGTGAGGGCGCGAGAAAAGGAAGGGTGACTGTCACCCGCGGTTTGAGGGCAGCAGTAGCCCCCCCGCCCACAGGCTCCCCAGAGCCTTGGGGGGACTACTACTACTACTACTACTACTACTACTACTACTACTACTACTACTACTACTACTACTACTACTACTACTACTACTACTACTACTACTACTACTACTACTACTACTACTACTACTACTACTACTACTACTACTACTACTACTACTACTACTACTACTACTACTACTACTACTACTACTACTACTACTACTACTACACTACTACTACTACTACTACTACTACTACTACTACTACTACTACTACTACTACTACTACTACTACTACTACTACTACTACTACTACTACTACTACTACTACTACTACTACTACTACTACTACTACTACTACTACTACTACTACTACTACTACTACTACTACTACTACTACTACTACTACTACTACTACTACTACTACTACTACTACTACTACTACTACTACTACTACTACTACTACTACTACTACTACTACTACTACTACTACTACTACTACTACTATTACTACTACGACTACTACTGCTGCTGCTGCTGTTGCTGCTGCTCTCCCCAATGGTGTCCTGTTTCAACCGCTTCGCCCTTCCCCCATCATGCACCACCCTTCCTCCACCCCGCCAACCTCCCCCATCCCTCCCCCTCTCCCCTCCTCCTTCGCCCCCTGTCATTCTTACCTCCCGTCCAAATCCCTTCGCCCATTCATCGCCGACGAGTGTCCGATAGCCCACCCCGCCCATGAGCGCGTGGTTTCGCCATCAGGGGCCCATGAACGAGACATCGGCGATGCATTTCTGATTCCAGTGCAACGATGCCCCCCTTGAGCTGGTCACCCCCTTATCACCTCCCCCCATCAGCCCCCCCTTTTGCCCCTTGTCATCCGCCCCCCCCGCTGTCCGCGGCCGCCGCCCCGGGCCGCTCCTGGACGGTTTCGGCGCGCCCGCGGCCTCCTGGGCAGGAGGAGGAAGAGCCGGAGCAGGATCGAGGAGGCGCAAACATGCATGAAGGCGCGTAGATTTGCGACGGGTCCCGTTCCCATAATAATTCGATTCGCCGCGTCGCCAAATCAGGCGGCGCTGGCTTCATGTTTCGCCCCAGTCAGTGAACGTGGCGCCCACGCGCCAGATCCACCGATCTGTAATCCATATCAGCGCGTGCTCCCCAGCAGGAGCAGAAGCAGGGGGATCGGGAGGAAAAGCAGGGGAGACGCAGGGAAGAGGGAGGAAGGGGGCAGGGTCAAGGGCAGGACTTGCTTTTATTGTTTATTCCACGTTGATTTCGGAATATGTGGTCCCACCTCGTGTTCCTGCACCCAACATCCCGTCCAGGAAGGACGACCAAAAACGGCCGCAGACAAGGGGTTGGGATTTCTGGGGAACCCGTATTGACCTAATCACACCGTCGGAGGTATTGGATCGAATTGTGTTAGTGCCATGCGAGGATGAATGGACCATGCGGGCAAAAGGGTCATTGCACAGCATCGCTGGGTATTCCGATGCACGGATACATGCGAGGCTCCCTTGTTGCAGCGCGGCAAGTATATCGTTCCTGGTTTCTAGGACTGGCTCGGAGGTGCTCGATGTATACATCACGTCGTTCGTTCGGCCGAGGAGCCACGCAGCCCGTGGTGCCACAGAGCTCGGCGAAGAAATTCCGTGCTTTGACGCTCCAGCGTCCCACAGGTTGGGAAGCTGGGGCGCCCATGCACCAAACTCCATGGCCGACCAGACGACTTGGTGTGTACTTCGAGCCCCCCAGTGGCCTTCACATTCATCCTACTTCCTCTCTCTCGTTCTCGTCTTCCTCCGAGCCAGACTGTTGCAAGGCACAGTTTCCTTGCAGGCCTCTGGTTGAGCCAGGGCGCGCTGCTACGACGTCCAGTGGTTCCGGGTTGATGGACGGTGAACTCATGCGATGCTAAGTCGATTCTCGTACCATTGCTTGGCTCGGGTCGGTCACAAGAAAAACCCAGCTCGCAAAGACACCAGGGTTGGAGTATCGTGAGCCAGAGTTTAGGTTTCCCTGCAGCCCGACGGCCTCCGAGGACCCCCTTCTGGATCGGGAGACGAAGCAGACGAGAAGGATGAGGTGGAGGTGCTAACGAAGCTTCGCCCTCGACCCTCGAGAATCAAGGAAGCAGGCTATGGACGGCTTCGAGAAGTTGCTGGTTGTCTTTTGGCCCGTCTGGGCCTCCAGAGTTCTCAGGGGCTTGCAGGAGTCAGGACCCAGGTTGGCAATGATACTGACTAGGTGGACGTCCGACGCCCTGATTTGCACGGCACTGCCCTTGGAGCTCTCGGCCCCATCCCGAGGACCGTCTTTTCGTCGCGGGCAGTTCGTGAGAACCAGTGAGACCCGAAGCGGGCCTCTGCAAAGACCCACGCTCGGAAAAAGACGGCCGGTCATGATTTCCCCGCGAAGCCCGGATCGACGATCCACGGAACGCAGGATGGACCATTTGGGGGTCATTTAGTTCGCCTACGCGGGTGACTTTGGGTCCCGCGGCGGCCCTCGGTGCACCGCGCCCCACCGCGGGCCCCGCTCCGAGAGCCCTGGCTCCAGGCTGGGGCTGGCATCTCCTGGTGGGGGAGATGGGACGTTTGCTTCGCGTGTCGCGCCGCCAGTTCTGGCCCACCACGCTTCGACGCGACACGCTAAGCACGTCCCAGCCGATAAGCATCAATGCTCGAGGCTTTTCCCAGCCTCCCGTCCCACAGAGCAGAGCGACACGCGATCAGCCTGCAAGGCACAGCGTGTCGCAGGGGCCGCCGCCGCGACACGCTAAGTAACGGTTCCTCAGCTTAGACTGTCGCCACCGTCCCACGATCGTCTTCTGATTTCCGCCGGCGAAGTCGTTACTTCGTTGTTCCCTTCGGGAGCCTCGACATTGTATGGTGACAACACCGTCTGGTGTGTCAGTGGGGCTTCGGGATGAGCGCACGAATTGAAATTTGGGGTCGTTCTCCAAGGATGTCTCGGGCGACTGGGGCCTCCAAGGTCCCAAAATCGTGCGATGACGGACCGTTCGGTGAGGTCTGTCAGGATTTCGAGGTCACCGCGCGGTTTGTCAACGAAACATTTCAGGGTCCATTTCGATCCGAGCGATCCGATGTGATATCAATTCGGACCGGTTCAATCCGATTCCGATGCTCCGGCGACCCGATGCGGCCCGATGCTTGCATGGGTGCAGTTCTGCATCATGGCGCGGCCGATCCGATCCGATTCTGACTCCGTCGCGATGCAGCACGATGCGACGCATGTTCCGATTCGATCCAGTTTTACGACTCGATTCTGATCCTGCCGTTTTGGGACCCCCAATTCCGCCGCTTTCCGCGGGACTGTCCGAAAGCCTTCCTCCTTGGTCATCCGCAAATGAGCCACTGACCTCAGCTGCGAGATATGGCGCGAGTGTGACAGTCGTCAGCAGGTAGTACTTCCGAACCTTCACCAGCACCGAGTTCCAAGGATGTGAGAGCTCCTGGGCCAAGCCCGGCGTCCACAGGGCCACGCCCATCCTGAGCTATACTAGCATTGCATTGCAGTCCTTGCTCGGTCCTCCAGGGGCCGAGGGCAGAGCATCCGAGACGGGGATTTTATGTATTTACAATCACCGCCTGGGGGATCCATCGTCGGAGACCTCGGCACGCGGTGCACATGCATATATTCCAGGCCCTCGGGGGGGATAATATATACATATATATATATATATATCCATTCACAGCCTGCCGAGGTCCCCTAAGACGGATCCTCCAGGCGGTGGTCATTGATAGGGTTCCCCTTCGCAGAATAGGGCAGTCGGGGAGAGGGCGAGCTGGCATGCGCGGCCTGGTCCTGCGTAACAGTAGTTGTTCCCCGCCGCGGCAGTAGTTCCCCTGCACACGTGCAAGCGCGGCACCCAGAAGGAAAGGCCTTTGTAGTCACGCCGCCGCCGCCACAGTCGTCGTCCTCCGCATCGCCCTCCTCGTCCGCCTCCTGCTCGTCCTCCCTCCACTTTCCTCCCGTCGTGAAACGAAGGCCACGAGAGGTTTTTGGCCGATTTCGGCTGCCAGGAAACCTCACCAGGTGGCGGAGCTCTCAAAAAATGACCAAGGATGAAGAGCCGGTCTTGGGGAACGGGTCCAGATCTCCAGGCGTCGACGCTGTCAAAGTTACCCGATACGTACCTAGCCGTGTCTTTCAACGAGGCCACTACCAATATGAACGGTCCATGCTGCATTATTCCGACAGTGGAACTCCACATTATCATCTTTTCAGCCTGGCTGGGGATATTCTCCTGCTCCCTCATCCTATCCCATCCTGCCTTTTCCTGTTCCTCCTGCCTCCTCCTCCTCCTCCTCCTCCTCCTCCTCGTCCTCCTTCCGCCTCCTCATCCTCCTGCCTTCTCCTCCTGCCTCCTGCCTCCTCATCCTCCTCCTCCTCTTCCTCCTCCTCCTCCTTTTCCTCCTCCTCCACCTCCACTTCCACCTCCTCCTCCTTTTCCTCCTCCTCCTCCTCCTCCTCCTCCTCCTCCTCCTCCTCCTCCTCCTCCTCCTCCTTGTCCTCATCCTTGTCCTCCTCCTCCCCCTTTTCTGCTTCTGCCGTAGCCATTTTGGCTCAAGATGTGTGTGTCCCTCGGAGGCAGGAAACGGACACCTCTAGTCCGAGGAAAGAGCACGTTCTGTGGTCGCTTGGAGGGGGGGGGCGGTTTGGAACCGGACCCCCCCCCTCCCCTCCTGTGACGGAGGGGGGAGGGGTTTGAACCCCCCCCCCCTCCCTCCCCTGCTTCCCCTCTCTTCGGTCCGGCGCTTGCGTCGGCGGCGTCTGGCGGCGGCGGCGGGGACGACGATTTCTTTTTCTGGGCCGGCGCCGGCGCCTGCAGCGGCGGGCGGCGGCGGCGGGGAGCGTCGACGAGGACGACGGTGGTCGTGGTGGTGGTGGGTTGTGGTGGTGGTGGTGGCGGTGGTTTGTGGTGGTGGTGGTTGTGGTGATGGGTGGTGGTGGTGGTTTGGTGGTGGTGTGGTGGTGGTTTGTGGTGGTGGTGGTGAGTTGTAATGGTGGTGGTTTGGCGGTGATGTAGTGGTGGTTTGTGGTGGTGGTTGTGGTGGTGGTGGGTTGTGGTGGTGGCGGTGGTTTGTGGGGGTGGTGCTGGTGGTGGTGGTGGCAGTGGTGGTGGTGGGGTGGTGGTGGTTTGTGGTGGTGGTGGGTTGTGCTGCGGGTAGTGGTGGTGGTTGTGGTGGTGGTGGTGATGGTGTGGTAGATCGCGGTGGTGGTGGTGGTAGTGGTGGTGTGTTTTTGTGGTGGTGGTGGTGGTGATGGTGAATTGTGGTGGTGGTGTTTGTGGTGGCTGTGGTCGTGGTGAGGTGGTGGTTGTGGTGGTGGCGGCGGTGGTGGTGGGTTGTGGTGGTGGTGGCGGTGGTGGTGGTGGTGGTGGGGTGGTGGTGGTTTGTCGTGGTGGCGGTGGGCTGTGCTGCTGGTAGTGGTGGTGGTTGTGGCGGTGGCGGTGGTGGTGTGATAAATTGTGGTGGTGGTGGTGGTGGTGGTGGTGGTGGTGGTGGTGGTGGTTGTGATGGTGAGTTGTGGTGGTGGTTCTGGCGGTGGTGGCTGTGGTGGTGGTGGTGGTTGCTTGGTGGGTTGGTGGTGGTGGTGGCGGGTTGAGGCGGTGGTCGTGGTCGCGGTGGTGGTGGTGGTGGTAATCGTCGCTGCGTCGCCGCCGTCGCCAGCGCCAGCGCCAGCGCGGCTGGCCGCCGCCAGCGCCGGCGCTGGCGCAAATGGGGGGTTCAAACCCCCCCCCTCCTTCCTTGGGCTGCCTCTGGTCATCGTCGCTGCGTCCCCGCTGTTGCCAGCACCAGCGCCGGCGCTGCTGGCGGCCGCCAGCGCCGGCGCCGGCGCCGAGGGGCGGGGGGGGTTGAGCCCCGCCCCCCCCCCCCTTGGGAGGGGTGGGGTTCGGGTGGGGGGGGAGGGGGGGGGGGCCCACCTCCCAGTTCGAAACGCGCCGCCGAATGTTCCCAAGACAAGCGTTCTCTCAGTCCGAGGCTCGCTCCTGTCCTAGGCAACCCCAGTCGAGCTGCGCGCCGCTTGGACCAAGAGACCACTCTCTCCGACGCTCACGCCCAGCCCAGGCCGGGTAAACTCAGGGCTTTCCAGTTCATGACCTGGCGTTGCGTGGATGGGCGGTGGACGCAAGGCGAAGAAGGCGCACAAGCAGGCGCGTCACGACGATGCCTCGGACGCGATGTCCGAACACTCCCCTGGCAGCTCTCCTCGGGGTGGTCGTCGCGATCGTCGGGCTGATCGCCGTCCGCCCTCGAGTTCTGATGCAGCAATCTCACGGCGGCCCCGCAATGCTGGAAGCAGCGCTGGCCGCGGCCCCGCCGAGGGCCCTTTCTCCCGCGACGACGTGGCGGCGCTGGAGCTGCCCCCGACCTTCTCGGCGAGCCAGCAGGCCCAGGTGGAGGCGGCCCGCCCTGCAGGTGCCGCCATCCCGCCTGGCACTGGGACCCCAGCCAGCGCGGCGCCGACCCCCGCGGTCGGTCTTCCCACGCCGCCCTCGGGGGATGCTGGCGACGCCCCTGGCTGGCTCCCTGGATAGGATCCCCGGGCTGCTCATCTGCGCGCCGATCCCGGCGGCCCCCACGGCGCGGAGGTTGCAGCTGGCGACAACCCCCATGGCACGTCGGGGACGATGGAGCGCTTCAAGCAGGACATCATTGCCGAGATGGCTCGTGCTTCGGCGGAATTCATCGCCAAGATGGTTCGCACGGAGCTCCTTCGTACCATCACGAATGCGGCACAACCCCTCGCCTCGCAGCTCGACGCGTCGATGCAGCAGCGCTTCAAGGCCCAGGAGCTCCGCTTAATCGAGGTCGAGACGCGCATGGGCCAGGCGGAGTGCTTGCATTCATCCTTCGCCGACCGCTGCGCGAAGCTGGAGCAGGAGCTGGACCTGGCCCGCGCGGCTCCACGCGAGCCCATTGCTAGGTCGGCGGAATGGCAGCGAGCTACAGACCTCGGCATCTTCGCCATCATCGCGCGGGAGTACATTGGCAAGAACTTGGTGGCAGACGGCATTCGTGGCGGGATGGAGTTGGCCAACTACTCTCCTGGCACCGACTATGAGCTGGAAGGTGGCGAACTCGCGCGGAGGTTCATCCCCCGCATCAGAGGCCTTGCGGTCACGCGTGCTTCCCGAGTCAGACAGACCCACGCCCTCTTGCGCGACGCCCACGGGGCGCGGAGACAGTTCTCCGCAGTCATGCCGGGTGGGCGACGCATCCCGCCCCACGTCAGTGCCGATCGCAATCGGTCCGAGATTGTGCGCGAAAGGGACACCGTGAAGCTTCGTTGCAATCTTCAAGCACACCTTGGCAGGCGCGTCTCATCGCAAGGCCGAAGTGGTGCGCCCCCCTCTCTCCGCGTCCTCGATCACGGCCTCTCAAGAAGTGCGCGGTCCTGCTGCCGCCGTTGAGGAGCTCCTCTCTCGCGCCCGAGGGGAGGTCGCCGTTTTTTGGCGTCTGCGCTCTCGTCCCGAGGCAAGTCCTAGAGTTTGTACAGGTCACGCCCACAGAGATTGTCAAGGGCAGGGTTCTCTGCCTCAAGATGGCCCACGGGCACTCCGGATTCCGCTGGCATTATTGGAAGATACACAACCACGACCACGACGCGAGCGACTTCCGCGGCACGTTGCAGGCGACTCGCAGCCAGCTCGACCAGGTCAAGCTAGACCCCCTGAAGACAGGCCTCCTGATGATCGGCGACTTCAACATCGCCGATAAGGAGGTCGACTACACCACTTCGGATCTCCTCCTCGATGTGCGCGGGCGGCTCCGCCGCCCAGGGGATGGGGCCGCTGGCTCGGCGGCCGCTCGGTCCTCCGCGGGCAGGCAAGCCCTCGCGGGCCAGTCTCGGCGGAAGCAAATCCCCCGCCAACTCACGGAGCTCGTCGCCCCTGGCATCAGCCACTTCCACGTCAGTTCGAGGCGGGGGCCCGCGTCGACAGGCGCTTCACGGCGACGCAGCCCTGGTTGCCGCGTCAGCTCCAGCAGCGCGCGCAGCATTGCGGCGAGCCTCAAGGATTTCACGACGCAATGCTTCCCGACCATGCGCCGCTCGCGATCTCGCGGCAGTCGAGGCGATGGGGCCCAGAAGGCGACTCGATCTGCAGGGAGATCCCGAAGAGCACCTACTCCGATCCGCTCTACCTGCCGGTCCTGGAGGAGTGCGAGCGCACGGCTGGGATCGGGGATTTTGGCCACATGCTCTCGGCGCCGTCGGAGCTGGAGCTGGCGACGCGCTGCCGGCAGGCGGCTGCCCGCGCGGCCCGCGATCTGCAACTGCGCGATCGCCTGAGGCTGCGCGACAGCCGCTCTCTCCCCCCTCGGCCCCTTGCCCGCGCTGTCCGGCGCCAGGACGCTCGCCTAGGCAACATTCTCTGGCTGTGGCATCAGTGGATCCGCCCCCTCTTTTCCGTCGACGTGGACTCCTCGTCCGTCGCCCCCACCTGTCCTGACGCCTATGCCCGTGCCCAGTCGAATTGCAGTTTCAGGATGCCCAGGCCGACACAGCACGGCTCCAGCGAGCCGAAGGTGCCCCTAGGGCGCCGGGCCGTCTCCGCGCGCAGTCAGAAGCCCTCCGCAGGCGCGCGCAGATTTGATTTTTCGTTTAGTCGTAGGCGTTATCTGGCGGGGGTGGTGGAGGGTGGGACGGACGTCATCCAAACCTCGGCTGAGGGCCAGCATGTTCTACGGGAGCAACGGGGCCCCATCTTTGAAAAGCCGCAGTCGGTCCCTCGGCGAGGCCAGCAGCACCTCTCGAAGTTTGCCCCCGACAAGGTTCCTGCCGATCCCCCACTGCCCTTGGGCGCTGCCTGCAGGTTCACCCGCCGCGTTTCGCAATCGGAACCTGGCCCAGGCGGGCTCGCGCACGCTGCCTGGGGTCCTGGCCGGGGCCCCGAGGCGCTCCTCAGCGCCCCCCGTCGGCTTGCGAGTGGACAGCGCCCC